GTTTCACCCGTGCGTTTCTGGATGCGGTCGTTACCTGGCACATTGGTCACGATTGCTGCCTCACATGTCTGAGCATTAAACACACTGTGGTGGCGTTCGTGGATGAGTCATGTTCCCATTGCGGGAAGATGACCATCTCGGAGCTGCGGGCCAGGCTCTGTTACCTCGAGGGGGGTGGAGCTCCGTTGCCTCTGCCGCGATCTAGTGTTCGTCTTGGCGGCAGCCAGGCGAGGACTACTTCGGGCAGTAACACGGGCGGTCTGAGGGTTACAGTGGTGGCAAACCATCACTCCTCTAGCGAAGCGCAAGCAGACGAGCCGCCAAAGGAACGCTCTGGGCCCTCTTCAAAGAGCGTACCAGCGGTATTCTTCGGTGCTTCTCCCGACGACCGGATGTCGATCACTGCATTGGAGGGAGAGCTCTCTGGAGAGGAAGATTCGACTGCGCTGCCGCCCTCCGGGACGGTAGCAATGCCTGAATCGGATCCGGAGGTGTCGGCTATGCTTTCTCGGGCCGCCGAGAGGGTAGGGCTCAAGTGGAAACCTCCACCGTGTCCCGGGCCCTCTAGGTTGGTTCTCAGCGCCACGCCCCGGTGCCTTTCTTCCCGGAGGTGCATGAGGAGCTCACCAGGTCATGGATGGCACCTTTTACTGCTAGAAACCGACCTGCTGGTTCCTCCTCCCTCACCACCCTCGACGGGGGTGCAGCTAGGGGGCATACGGTGATCCCCCCAGTGGAGTGGTCGGTAGCGATGTAGTTGTGTCCTAAGACTGCCTCCTCCTGGCGGGGAAACCCGTCGCTCCCCTCCCGTGCATTCGTCTGGTCTGACCTGGTCTGCTTATACGGCTTGTGCAAGCGGCGCTGTGGAGCTGGGCGTAGGCAGGCCGCACCGCTCGTCCCCCGTCAAACCTGGCGGTGAGCGGGAGAGCAAGAGGCCCCGGTACGGGCGACCCAGAGAGAGAGGGAACTGCCCTTTGGGGGATGGTGAATGCACCTCTCCCTCCTCCGGAGGAGGGCAGGGTGGAGAATCTGGTTTCCAAAAATCTCGATGAGAGAGCAGTTTTCTCTGTTTCTGGGTCCCAAGAGGGCACGGAGAGTCGTGGACGGACCAACACCGGACCACACTCATCCTCCTCTGTCGCCAGCAGGCAGCAGCGGGCGGTTCGAGAGCGTCAACAAAGGCCCTACTCATGCACCCTCTGCCAAA